AACAGAACTCCATAAAAGTGAAAAATCTTCAAAAGGAATAGAAATCAAGGAACAGTGAAAAGACAGGATGACAATTGGAAATGGAAGAAGTGTTAGAAGTCAGCATCTGGGCCAATGCTCAGCCTTTTAAGAGGGGAAATTTGGGACCCCGCATTTAGAGCTTGATAAGTGTGACATCTCTCTGGGGGAAAAAAGTGTAGATTGCTAACACATGGCTTGCAGAGACAGTGAAAAAGTAAATAATGATCACTGGGTAATCATTGTGGTTTAATTAAAAGTAAGGTGCCATTTCACTAATCGACAGGGAAATGCAAATCAGAGCTGCAATGAGATATCACCCCAGTTAAAATGGCTTTTATCAAAAAGACAAAAAATAACAGATGCTGATGAGGATGCAGAGAAAAGGAAACTCTCGTGTACTGTTGGTGGGAATGTAAATTAATATAGCCACTATGGAAACCAGTGTGATGATTCCTCAAAAAACTAAAAGTAGAACTACCATATGATCCAGCAATCCCACTGCTAGGTATACATCCAGAAGGAAAGAAATCAGTATTTTGAAGAGACATCTGCACCTCCATGTTTATTACAGCACTATTCTCTATAGCCAAAATACAGAGTCCACCTAAGTGTCCATCAGCTGTGAATGGGATAAAGAAAATGTATATATACACAGTGGAATATTATTTAACCATAAGAAGAAGGAAATCCTGTCATTTGCAACCACAGGGATGGAACTGAAGGTCATTATGTTAAGTGAAATAAGCCAGGCACTGAAAGACAAATGTTACATGTTCTCACTCTGTGGGAGCTAAAAAAAGTCAATCTCCTGAATATAGAGAGTAGACTGGTGGTTCCTAGCAGCTGAAACAGGATAGCGGGAGAGGCAGGTGAAGTTGGAGTACAAAAATACAGTTAGAAGGAATAAGATCTAATGTTCAATAGTTCAGTAGGGTGTCTATGGTTAACAATAATCTATTGCACATTTTTAAATAACTAGAGAAGAATTCAGATGGGATCAGGTGCGGTCAGGGTGGTATGGCCGTAGATGAGAAGAGTTCAAATGTCCCCAGCGTAAAGAAAAGATAAATGAGGTGATGGATATCTAATTACCCTGATTTGATCATTATACATACGTGAATGTGTCAAAATATAATATATACCCTGCAAATATGCACAACTATTATGTGTCAATTTTTTTTAAAGTGTGTCAGGGTGACACTCTCCCTCTTCTCCTGTTTCCCCCACCCACTGTATGTCCTCCTCTAGGTCTCATAGCTCTGGATGGATGAAGGAAATGCTTTAGACAGTGTGTCTTGTTTCAGCTAGCTTCTGATAGAGTCAGTCACTATGGACTTTTGGTCAAGATGGAGAAAATAAAGTGAACAGAGTAACAGTGCCTAAGTTAAGTACATGCTAAGTTATTTGAAGATGGAGGCAGTCTTGTGACATGGAAATGACCTTTAATGTTGGACTTAGATGTGAAATCAGTATTGACTTTTTCACCTGCATCTTGAGGAATTTTACATCTGCGAACCTCAGATTCCTCGTGTTAAATGGGAATATAAAGCTTAACTTGCCAAGTCGGTTCAGGAATTAAAGAGGATGCCACCCTCAGTGTGCTTCACTGACATGTGGAGATGTTCTCTTTCTCCTCCTCTTTGCCATCTCCTCCGCCTCGTCCCCCTCAATAACCGCACTACCACAGTATAGTGAGTGGGCACGTGAAAGGAGAGTTACATCTTGTGTGGAAGAGGGTGAGTGATACATTGGAGAGGACTGGGAAAAGAAGTATGAGGAGGACTGTTCTTCTGCCTCATGTGGGTCCTCAAGAAATAAAATCCCATTTTCCCTAAAGCTCCCTTCTGGGAAAGAAATCAGATTTTAAAATTCTTTATTTAATATTTCACCCTGGGTGAATATGTGTGAGTCTGTACTTCAAAAGCTTTCTCATGAAAGAAATCATTATACTTATATTGTATACCCAAGCATTTCTAGAACTCTTCATTTATAATTATGATCAACGAATGGAGTTTTAAAAGCATCACATTGTTATAGCCACTAAGTTTTATCACTGTTATTTTTAACTTTTTGTTTTGATGTGTTACTTTTAACTGTAATTAAAAATTATTGGCATCTGTGTTTACTTTTTAGCTTGTACATACCTTATCTTGAAAGTAGAAACTAATTAGTATGTGAAATACAGTACTATTAAATATGCATTAATGGGAAAAATTGTGTCTGATCAGATGTAAAATGTAGAAAATATATTTTAATATCTGAAAGATATGTACATGGTATTCCAGTTTCATTCTTAAAGAAATACTGTTTTAGCTTTTGTCTCCATATATCTTTCCTAGGCTCCTTTGATGTATTCAGACAGACTACAGAAATTTTTTTTAAAAAAAATAAAAAAAAACCAGTCTTCTCTCATGAAACTTATTAAGTGATTTAGAAAAATAACCATTATATGTGATGGGCTTGTTTTAACAAAATAAAATGAAATACCCCCCCAGAAACATTATTCAAAGCACTAAAATATCTTTTCTGGCCCCAAATGATTTTCATGCTTACTTTAGTCTGTTCCTGATTTCCTGACCCAGATCACTTAACATCCTAAACCGTAACAAATGTTCTCTCTTCTGTGATTATCTTGGTGACTGCCTATAAAGAAATATTTCATTTGGTTCACGTTCATGTTGGAGGCATATGATTTTTATATTATTACTGTTAATTTTATATCACAAAACTATCCCCCTTTTTCCTGTTCCTGCTTGCCACCATGGTAGTCAAAGCCATCCTCATTTTTCTTCTGGAGGACTGTAGTAGTCTCCTAATTTTTGCTGTTCTTTTCAGAAGAACATGAGTAGACTTTTTAAAACACAAATCAAATTGTGGTACTCCCGACTCCCCATCTCCCTCACCATCACATTACCAACGTACACTCTTCCAGTAGCATTGGTTTGCCTTCACAACCTCATTTCCCAAAGTCCGCAACCTCCATTTTTTCTTTAATACCACTTATCAGAATTATAAATACTATAATAATTATTTATGTTGGATATTTGTCTGCTTGCCCGTAAATTCCATGATCAAAGTGATCTTATCTTTTTTATTAAACCACTTTATACCTGCGCCATTCTGAGTTTAGTAAATGCACATTCGTGGTTTTATTTTTTTTGATGAGTGGTTTTGGTTCTGAATATCACAAAATAGCTACTTTCGGAATGCTAAATAATGTATTTCTATTCATTATGTGATGCACGTTAACTGCAATGTCCCCTTTGATTTTTTTCCTATTAACACTGATCATCATCTGACTAACTAGAATGAAAGCTCCAGGAGAGCAGTGACGTTTGTCTGTTTTGTTCAGTGCCTTGTCTCGGATGTGTAGAACAATACCCAAAACATATTTGTTGCATATGTGTTGAAGGAATGAGTGGATGAATGAATGATTGAATGAATGAACTTCCACACACCTGACGTCTTGGAATTCATTCCTGTGATGAGCAATTCAGTTCAACAGACATTAAGTATCTGCTGTATGCTAGCCATTATGCTAGGCACTGTGGGTATAGAAATCACTTCTGGTATCATTTCTGCTTCTGATTTAATTCGTATTAAAATGTTTGCTATTATTCTAATTAATTTAGGAATTATGCCATGATATGACAATGGCTTTCAAATTGAGCACTTAAAACTGGCTCCTATAAAACAAGACTGTAGTGGTCTCATGCTTACGCTTTGCTTCACTGTTTTTACATACTGTGTTGTTAATTACACTTTACTTTCTGTTCAGACATAATTAATTGGCCTGACCCTCTTGGAACAGTTTTGGGATCTTCACTTCTTTGATTAATCTATTTCTCATTTATCTTCTAGATCTAACTAAGGTCAAATGATTTTATAAAGATAATAAATACATTGCAGTGTCCTGATGTTTTGCTCTTCGTGTCTGTCTTTCTTACAATCTAATTTTGATTTGCTGACAGTGTTAGGAAACAGATCCAGCAAGGGCTTTGTTTAGAATCTCAATGGAAGCAAAGAACAGAGATGATATGTTAGTTTTAGCAGTTTCCTTTCCTTTCTTTAAGATGGTGTTACTTCTGAAATATGAAACATTTTTTCCATGTCTTTGTATGTTGAAGAAAATATTTCCTAGTTTGCTTTTGATGTCAAGATAAGATTTATGTACAAAACTGAGGAAATAATATTCAGTAACATTCTTAGTTTATTTTGGGTTTGAAATACAGCCACATTTTATAATTGTCACCAAGAGTATGAGAGTCATGACCTTTTTATAAAGAAGCATGTTAAACCTGTAGTCCTAGCTGCTTGGGAGGCTGAGGCGGGAGGATCCCTTGAGACCAGGAGTTCGAGGCCAGCCTTGGTAACAGAGACTCTGTCTCTAAATAAATAAAGAAATGATTTTTTTTTTAAAAAAATTAAGCACATTAAAAAGCCTCTGTTCCTTTCTATTTTTAAAATGTATAATTGAGAAATAAATATTATATGTGTATTCTGTTCTTTAATAACTGATTTTTTTAAAGTAGGAGACTTAGAGATTCTGTGGTCTTTTTGTAAATTATATTCTTTATATCCCACTCAATAAAATTTGTTACAAACATGGAAATACTAATTACTCATGCTGAAATATTAGCTGATAAGGCATTCCCTTTTAGGGGAAAATTTTAGTGTTTAATTTTCTTTGTCCCTGATAATTTTTTGGTTGATTTTTATGTATCATTATTGATATACTTTAAGTATGAGTGAGTTTATATGAGTCTATACCTTATAGCTATCTGAATTAAATCATTAATTTGATTTTTGTTTTGTTTTGGGGGGGAGGGGAAGCTGAACAATAAAGGAAGCATACCACTATGTTTTTAAATCCTTTTCTACCTCTGGGTTTAACCTCTTCTGATTTTAGGTAAATAGTGAAATTTTTATGTTACCAGTGCTCAGAACATACATTAAAAGTTTGCTTTTTTCCTTTGTAGGATGAAGTGGCACACACTCTAACTGAAAGCAGAGTGTTAAAGAACACTAGACATCCCTTTTTGACAGTAAGTGACTAGAGGAGAGATGTTATAATCATAACATTTTAAATTTAAGGAATTTTGTTATATGAAAAATTACATTTTAAATAACATTCATTTAGATATTATTTAAAATAGCCATTTTCTTTGTGGAAAGACCATAAGTCAAATTTCTTTGAAATTAATTGAAATGTGTGGATTTTTACAGTATGTATGCATTTGTAATCACTCCCATTATGTATCTGTTACCTTTTTGAGACTTTTTTCTTTTTTTGCTCCCATGAATCTCATTGCCATTAAAAAAATAACAATAAACCATAAAACTAATAGATTACCTGTGGCATTTTAAGGAGACCATTGAGAAAATGGTAGATTTGTTTAAAGTTCCTTAATATTAAATGTAAAGATATTATGTTTCTTTTGTTTATTGGCTTCTGATAAATACTAATGATCAGGCAGTGTTTTTTCAAATATGAAAGGAAGAAATCTTTATATATTTTATGAGACTCATTATAGAAATGAGACTTCTTTGAGGGACACAGCACTATAAGAAATACAGGAATACTAAATATATTGGAGATAGGATAAGTCATATGTTTTTTTCACTAGACAAAGTATAAATTGTGATTTATATGTATATAACTTAGTTATTTTGAAACAAACTGATTTTTTTAGTCCTATTCTTAGATTCCTTGTAATAGAGGGATAATTTGTAAAGTTTCTTTATGTTCCTGGATATTAAAAGCATATGGATATTAAAAATAATAGCTAGACTTTCAAAAGTTGAGCCCTTTAAATTGTTAGAATTGTTTAAAGTAGACATTTTTAGAGTTATCACTACATATAATACCTGGACTTACTTTGTTACTTTTGTGTTTATTGTCTAGTAATAAGATAGCATTTTGATACCTTTTTATAACCTATCAAATTATACGAACCAACTTTGTTGGGTTGGGTCATGTTATGCACCCAATATGCAAAAAGTGATATTGAAATTATATTAGAAATATAAACATAATAACTTTAACTGTATTCCTAAGCAACTTCAACTAGAATAATTTGTAGGCCATACTTTGAGGTTGCGTGGATTAGAACTTTGAGGACCAACCCAGTTTCAAATACATAGAACGATAGATTGAGAGTACTCATCAGAATCACTAAGTTTACTTTTATTTGAAATTTTCATTTTAATTTTTCTCATAATAATACCTATTGCTGAGCTAAATAAAATTTGTTTTATGTTTCTCATAAACTCTTAAGCATTCTTGAGTAAATAAAATAGACTCTTAAGGAACAATAACAATTCATTTTATCAATCATGCTTACTATTTCTAAATGTTCTATTTTTGGTACCAATATAGTGATAAGAATGTAGGATTAAAATATAACATTTTTTCTTTTTTATTTCAAGTCCTTGAAATATTCCTTCCAGACAAAAGACCGTTTGTGTTTTGTGATGGAATATGTTAATGGGGGAGAGGTGAGTCAAGAAGTAAATCCTGCATTTGCATGGTAGTATTTTCATTATTTTAAAAACATTCCTTAAAAATACACGTTATAATATAGCAGTTCTCCGTTTCCTGATAGGTATTTGTATAGCTCTTTGAACTCTTGAGTAGATGGGAACTGAATAATTTCTAATGAGATGTAATGATTGTTTTTTATATATTGGAAAGCATAATCATATTCTCCCTTTTCTGTATGTTTAACTGTAAAAAGTTTTACCACAAGTATGTTTTTGAAGTCATGTTATTAAATTTTGAAAACCACAAATATAAGATTTATTATGTTTTGCAAAGTTCTTCCACAAGTAGGCTTTCTGTGAAACTTGTGAGAAGTTATTTTACCCATTTTAAATTCAATTGAAAAATAGTCCATAGGTGCATTGTGGCTGAGTTTCTCTTCTCTTACACAGTAGAGTAACATGACTGCATTTAAGAGATTTAAGTCTCTTAAATACAGATCTTATAGTTTTGAAATTTAATCATTTCAGTAGTATATTTCACTTATTCCTTTATTCCTTATCCTTTCCTTTCCTCATTTTTGGTCAAAATCAATGTGAGGAAAAAATGAAATTTGCAAGAATAGTGAACTGGAAATATTTTATACTGTGGGCTTTCTGAAATAAATTTAATTATTAAATAGAGGCTTGCATCTCATAGACTTTAAAATATTCTTCTTTTTCAAAACAAATAAATTAATTAAACATCCTCTATAAAATTTTTTTTTTTTTTTTTTTTTGAGACAGAGTCTCACTCTTTTGCCTGGGCTAGAGTGCCATGGCGTCAGCCTAGCTCACAGCAACCTCAAACTCCTGGGCTCAAAGCGATCCTTCTGCCTCAGCCTCCCAAGTAGCTGGGACTACAGGCATGCGCCACCATGGCCGGCTAATTTTTTCTATATATTTTTATTTGTCCAATTAATTTCTTTCTATTTTTTTAGTAGAGACGGGGTCTCGCTCTTGCTCAGGCTGGTTTTGAACTCCTGAGCTCAAACAATCCGCCCGCCTCGGCCTACCAGAGTGCTAGGATTACAGGCGTGAGCCACCACGCCCGGCCCCTCTATAGAATTTTTTTCCTATAGAGTTATCTGGTTTGTAGAAATTAGTTGATTGCAAAACTTATTCATTTATTTGGTAAACACATTTTGAGTGCCTAGGCAGTGTGAGTTTATCAAAATGTGTTAAGACATTATCCTTGCTATGAAGTACATATTTTGTTTTATAAGTGCATTATAAATTAGAATGTGTAGTGAAAGACCTAAGTGCTAATAAATTCATAAAAGAAAATGCTTTATGGATGATCTAGTATTTAGGGTAGGCTTAATGATATTTCAACCAGGGAACTGATTTAAGAAGATATTTCAAGCAGAGAGGGTGGTGTGAGCAGAATCACTGGTACATGAGCATAGGGCAAGAAGAACTTGAATAAATAATAATAATCCAGGCACGCAGAACTAGACCCTTGTAGTCAAATGGCTAAGAAACTATGAAGAAAATGAATGTTGTGAAACTGTAGGGCTAGTACATCATAATGACCAATTAATTGGATGTGGATAGAAACAAATGATGATTTTTATTGGGAATCAGAGGGACTTAACAGATACAGTGAAGTTATGAAGAACATGTCAAGGGTAAGATTATAAATTTGGTTTTGAAAAGGTTTTTCCCAAGATTGTAAGGAAATATGTATGTGAAAATATCACAGAAAGTAAATGTTATAACTTTTGGATCATATGGATAATCCATACAGTTTTGGGAGCCATTCCCTTAAAAGGTTGTAATTTATGTTACAGAGGTGAAATGAAATTGATGAAACCTCTGTGTCAGTATTATCAAAATTCAAAATGCACATATTCTGGTACTCAGCAATTTCACTTCTAAGAATTTATCCTATAGACACACACAGATACACCACAGAATTATGTGTGGATAAATATGTTCATCGTAGCACTATAATACCTTAAATGAGCATTCAGTAAGAAGTCTGCTTAAATAAATTGTGTTACATCCGTGTGGTGGAATCTCTAGATCCACTAAAAAGAATGAGGCAGCCCAATATGGGCTGATACAGAAGTAAAATTTAAAAAGTAATGTACAGACAGTGTATGAAGCATGCTACCATTGTGGTAAAATGAAATTAGACCACATACCTGTGTACCTATGTTTGTGTATTCATTGAATATCTCTGGAATGATATTCCATAACACCCAGCACTAACTGGGTGTTAGTGCTCGCCTTTGGGAAGATAAACTGAGTGGCTGGGGATAGGCTAGGAGGAAAACTTGTTTTTACCGATGCATTCTGTAGCTTTTGTATTTTGTTCCACACACACATGTTATCTATTGAATACTTGAAAATAGACAGACGAATAAATGGATGACCAGGGGGACAGTAATAGAGGGAAAATGATAATTTGCAAACAAAAACTCAAACACTCTTAAGTGCCTCTTATTTTTTACACAGTATTATGTATTCACACCTATTAACACTCATCATATTGTTTTATAATTACCAACTTATTTGTCTTTCCTACTAAACGTTTAACTTCCTAAGAGGCTTGTTTACTGGTATAACCTAGCACCTCACACACTACCTGGCACATCATAGGTACTTGGCAAATATTTATTAGATTATTTGAATGAATAAATGAACAGATGGATGAACAAATTCCCTCGGCGGGCAGGGATGAGAGATGTTAGCAAAAGTGGTTAAATAGGCCGGGCGCGGTGGCTCACGCCTGTAATCCTACCACTCTGGGAGGCTGAAGCAGGAGGATCGCTTGAGAACAGGAGTTTGAGACCAGCCTGACCAAGAGCAAGACCAAAAATAGAAAAAATAGCTGGGCATGGTGGGCATGCCTATAGTCCTACTCAGAAGACTGAGGCAGGAGGATCGCTTGAGGCCAGGACTTTGAGAGTAAAGTGAGCTATGATGATGCCACTGCACTCTAGCCTAGGCAGCAGAGTGAGACTCTGTCTCAATTAAAAAAAAAAAAAAGATTTCTGCATTCATATCTG